CTTGCGAATTCTTTTTAAAAACACGATTTTCAACAATTTCAGGAAATGCGGCCAAGCGTGCTTCGCGCGCGCATGTCGAAATCGTTCGAACGGCCGGGCGCGCGCGCCGTCGCCAGAGTCCTCTGCAAGAGATGGGGCGAAGTGCGCGCGCGTCTTCGCGCGCGCATGCCGACATCCTTCAGAATATTTTAGGTTTCGCAGCGACTTCAAAACCGAACGCCCAAACAACATGCCATATCGGCCAGTGCTGTATCCAAACCGATCATACGATTCAAATCACGGAATCAGAGGGATCCAGCATGTTTGGAACCCGCGAGTCAGCAAGCAAGCAAGCGCGCAATCAAGCAAGCAAGCAAGCAATCAAGTAAGCAAGCGCGCAAGTGTGCAAGCAAGCAAGCAGGCGTAGGCATAGGCGAAGGCGTAGGAAGCATGGGGCAGGCATAGGCATAGGTGTCGCCATAGGAATTCAGAGGGGGGCATGGGAATTAGGGGGGCAACGGATCAATGCGTAGAATTTGAGGTCGGACTCCTATAGGGGGAGAAAAACACATGGCTTAGCAACAACAGTTTTCACAAACAAAACGCGGAAAAAAACGCGCGCTCGCGCTCTTGCGATTTTTGAGGAAACCCATCGGTGTTTCAACATGTTCATGGAATTCTGCCAAACATGCCTCGCGCACCGCATGGTGGCATCATTCGCGCGCCCTTGCGCGCGTGCTAGGGGGGCACGATCCGCGTCAAAGAGTGCCGCGCGGGCCACTCTCGCGCTTCGGCCGCGCGCATGGCGAACTCTTTCTACAAAACCTTCATCGCCGACGCGAGGACGCCGTCATCGTCGCCGGCGCGATCAGCATCGGAGCCCGCACTGGCCGTGCCTTCGTCGTTGTCAACATCGCCACCAGCATCGCTGCTATCATCATCGCGTCTACCGTTTTCAACGTTGCAATGATACCGCGCCCGCCCAAGTCACCGACTCGCAATGAAGTGCCCCCTGGGATGTGCCCAGCGATCAGCGCCGCCGCGGCTGCGTCGGCCGCGCCAAAGAAACTGGCCGCCGCGCGCGCGCATGCGCGGGCTGTCGCGGCCGCAGAGATGCACCAGCCAGCGCCGGGCACTCATCGCAATCGCCGCCGCATGGGGCCTGCAAGCCGAGTGGCGGGTGGGCGGGTGGGATGTTTGAGCGATCGGTGGAGCGGACAAGTTAAAATTCAGCATTGGATTGCACCGCGCAGCTTGCACCTCGTAGATTGCCCCACGTGCATTTTCCGTTCTAAATGGAAATCAGAATCTACGCCCCCCCGGGAATCATCGGTCATTCTGCCCCATCGATCATGTTAGACATGAAACCACACAATCACAGGAGGCGCCGTCTTCGCCCCCCCAAAAGCCATCATTCTTGCCAAGTCTGAAACGAGCGCACACGTTGATCAGAAATCAAACATCTTCAACATTCCTTTTTGCAACAGGGAACAAAGTCGGCATCGCGCGCGTCGCTGCGCCCGAATGCAGAAATTGTTGTTGGCAAACCATTTAGGTTTCGTCGGGGGGTCAAGATCGAACTCCCCGAAACACACATTTGAACAAAATGGCGTTGCCAACGTGGGCGTTCAAAAAAAAATATGCGCGCGCTCTTGCGAAGTCTTGCGGGGGCGCCAACCGTTCGACATCTTCATCACATGCGACCAGCCGGGCCTTCCGCGCACGCGCGTCGAGATCATTCGAACGCCTGCGCGCCCTTGCTGGGGGGGTCACCCCCGCCAAATTGTGCTCACGGGCCACTCGCCCGCGTCGGCCGCGCGCGCCAGCTGAAATCTTTCCAAAACCTTCACCATCGACGCGCAGACAATCATCGTCGCCGGCGTGACCAGCATCGGCGCCGTCATTGGCCTGGCCGTCGTCATCGTCGCCATCGCCGCTATCATCGGCACTCCCATCATTGCGTCTGCTGTTGCCGACGCCGTCGCGTTACCGCGCCCGCCCGAGTCAGCGACTCGCGTTGACGCGCCCGCGCGTCAACCGAGGGGCCGACGGGGCCGAGAGGGCCAAGTTACATTTATCGGTATTCCGGGCACGCGAGCCTTCTGGTCCCCGCGCACTGCGGCCCGCGGAGGAGTCAGCATCCACGTCAAGCTGGCGCGTCTGAGCCGCTTCTCGGCCATTGGGGCCGTACTGGGAGGAGCTAGAACCAGGCCGCCCTGGGCGCCTGGCGCTCAGCGGAGAAGGAGGAGGACGAGGAGGAGGAGGAGGAGGAGGAGGAGGAGGAGGAGGAGGAGGAGGGAGGAGGAGGAGGAGGAGGAGGAAGAGGAGGAGCAGATGGCGATTTGGATTTGTTCGCAAGAGATGTACCCACTGGCACGCGGCGCCGGCCTCGGGCCCCCCCGCGTGCGGAGGGCGAGGCGCCGCTGAGGGGGCAGAGGGAGGAGCTGGCCCTGCTGTGCGCATCCACACGGCGGGTTGACCCGTGGCCGCCTCTTTCTAATGTATCTGCAGGTGCACTCTGCGCGGCGTCGCGCCAATTATCTGTCGCTGTGCCCCAGCCTCGGTCATGCCGCCCTCTGGACTTCTCCTTGCGGGCCGCGAATCAAAAAAAGCGTACCCACACGCACTTGGAGCCGCCGTCGCGGTCTGCCACTGTTGCCAGCGACTTCAGCCTCGCGTCGTCGCGAGAGGACCGCTCCTGCTAGGACGCGGGGCTCTTCGCTGGAGGGGCCGATGATTGCAGGAGAGACGCCCACTGGCCCCATCTCTTCGGCGGCGAAGCTGGCTTGCACGAGGAGCGGCAGCCAGACGCCACTCGCGACGGCCCCAGATCCCGAGCGCGCTAGGACAGGACGCACACCGCCCAGCCGCTCTGCGACCAGCTGGACCGCTTGACGTTCGCGGCCGCCTTGGAAAGGCGCCCGCGGTTGTCGCAGCACCGCCCCCTGAGCCTTTGGTCGGCTATCTCGCCCGCCCAAGCCTCCCGCCGATGCGTCGATCGCCGAGGAGGTCATCCCATCAGAGGCTTGGCCAGTGAGGGTTGCAGCTGATTTGCATGCCCGACTCCGGCGAGACGGCCCCGGCGCTGGCAGCTGCCCGCTCGAGCGGCTCATGGCTCTGAAGCTCGCCATCCGCACGGCATCTGATCGGACGCGCCCGGAGTTGCCGTCGCGCGCGGGAGCCTTAACACGGGGGTCAATGCAAACGGGGGTCATCCAGAGCGCAAGATCTTGTAGGATCCTGCAGGGCCAGGGTCGCATTGACCTGGGCTGGGGCGCAGGATCCTGCAGGATCTTGCAGGATCCTTCGCGTTGACCCGGGCTTGGGTGCGGGATCTCGCAGGACTCTGCAAGGCCTGACTGACCCGGGTCTGGATTGACCCGGGTCAGAAGATCCCCGCACCAGCGCCTGCGGCTGAGGACGAACGAGCTGTGGGTGGTGACGGGGGCGTTCCGCCGTCTGGAGCGCTTCCGCGGGCCCCGGGCGTCGTGGTTCGCGGCCCCGCCATCGGGGGCGCCCTGCAGCAGAGCTTCGCCGACGCGGGCCCAGGTGCAGCCGCTGCGCTGCCACGCCCCGTCGCGGTGGAGCTTGCGAAGCGGGCTTGGCGTGATGACCTAAAGGACTTGCACTCTGCTCTGCCGGAGTTGGGCCCCGAGGTTCACCACCCACCAAACCACCCCAACCCAACCCGAAGGCCTCAATCTGCCCTCCCTTTCCAGTTGGGGGGGGGGGTCGGGGGACACGGAAAAAAACACATATGGAACCCGTACCCCCCCCCCACCCGAGATTGGGGTCTTCGGGTTGGGCTGGGGTGGTCTGGTAGGTAGTCAGAGGTCTCCCGGCGGCGTCGGCCCTCGGCTCTGCCGGCGGTCTCCCGCCGGCCTGCTCCCGCTCCCGGCCGCGGCCGCGACAGCGCTCCGCACAGGGCGCCGCCGACGGGCCGGCGCGCGCAGGCCCCGCACAGAAGTGGCCCGAAGAAGCCCCGGCGGCGATGGGGCGATGTCTTCGCTCCATTCTCTTCCTCCTCCTCCTCCTCCTCTCCTCTCCTCCTCCTCTTCCTCCTCCTCCTCCTCCTCCTCCTCCTCCTCCCTCCCCCTCCCTCCTCCTCCCCCTCCTCCCCCCCTCCTCCTCCCCTCTCCTCATCCTCCTCCCTCCTCCTCCTCTTCTCCTCCTCCTCCTCCTCCTCCTCCTCCTCCTCCCTCCTCCTCCTCCTCCTCCTCCTCCTCCTCCTCTTCTCCCCTTGGGAGGCCGCGCGAGAGCGCGAAGTTGTTCGCACCTCGCGCGGCGCGCAGCGCGCAGCGCGAAGCTGGGAGCCCTCGCCTCCCCGGCCGCTCGATGACAGTCGGGGGTGGACAGAACCCACAACTTTTTGGTCTGCGGGTCGAGAGCGAGCCTCTTCCAGTTAAGGGCAAGGCGGGCCGCGCAAAGCACTAATTGGGGAGACGGGGCGCGGGCGGGCGGGGCCTCAGGCGGCCGGAGGGTGCGGGGTGCAGGCGGTGCTGGAGAGCTCGCACAGGAAAAGGTACACCTTGGACAGGAGCCGGAGGTGAAATCCCGGAGGATGTGCGGTGTGGTGTTGCCGTCGACGGCGCACAGAACCACCAACAGTGACACGTCGATTAGTGAATTGTCCGTTTGCGATTCTCGCGAGGGCGCCGTGGCCGTTATTTTCCAGGCTTGCGCCCGCCAGGTTTGGGCCGCAGGTCGTTTTCACTAAACCACGTTTTGCTAAAGGAGGGTCTGTCCATCCCCGAGACCGGGCCGGACGAAAGGGGGGGATTGGGAAACCCTTTGCGACAGGAGGATATTGGGCGCTGGATTTAAGTCGGGCCTGTCCCCCTACAGGGGGACTTTCGACGAAAAATAGAAAATACCCCCCAAAATAGTCCAAACACTGTCCAAAAATAGTCAGAGGATTATTTTTTATAGCATTTTTTATTATCATTTTGGAGCTTCTTTGGGGTATTTTTCATTTTTCGCCGAAATCCCCTAGTAGGGGGACACGCCCGACAGAAGTCCAGGGAGACTCGGAGGCGCCAGATGGTCCGGCGGCGGCTCCGCGCCCTCTCCCGGCACGCCCAGGGGGCCAGCGAGGGTGCGCGCGGAGGACGTCGAGCGGGCGCCCTGGGGCGCGCTTCGCGGTCGGCCCGACGGCCCCGACGGCCCCCCTAGGGGGCCACATGCGAACCCTACCCTCCTCCCTCCTCCCTCCTCCCTCCACCCTCCTCAAGCCGCCGTCCCGGCCCAGGGGTTTTTGGGTGCTGATCCCAGGGATCAGCGAAGCCCCCTCCAGGACAGAGGCCATACGCGCTGGCCCGCTTCTAGTCGAGGCGGCTGGCCGTGCCATAGCAGCTCGCTCCGTGGCAGGCTCCGGGCCCTCCGCCACGGCTCGCGCGAGCCGCACCCCCGAGCCCGCGTGGCACAGGAGGGATCGAGCTAGACGCTCACAGGATCGAGTGCTGGTGAGAATCGCGGCGGCAGCACGCCGCCTTGACCAGCACCACAGCAGTATGACAGATTCCCTTGACAAGCGTGGTGCCACTCCAGGAGTGCGCAGAGGCGGCCAGCAGCCGCCACGTTTCTGGGAATGCTCGTCCTGCTCCAGAGCCAACATATACAGCTCATCGACGTGCAGATTCTGTTCGCATCCAGCGACGCAGCCCGACGCCCAGCACGACGAGTGCGAGGATGACGAGGACTCCGGTGAGTGGATTCAAGGGAGACCAGGGAGGAGACATCGCAGCCGCCCACCCAAGGCCAAGTCGCAGCAGCAGCAGCAGTGGAAGACAGGATCGGCGCCATGGCATACCTGGTCGTGGGACTCAGCCACAGCGCCGCCGCAGCGCTCACAGAGCGCGGCACCAGCAAAGGAGACAGCCACGCAGCCCGCGCCTCCACCTCTGCCGCGGCCAGCAGAGCCAGAGGTTGCGCAGGCGCACAGACTGTGGCTACCCCCGCCAAGCACAGTCAAGGAGCTCAAAGCGCACCGAGCCAGGCTGAAGGAGTCGCTGGATGCCATCGAACGCCAGATCCACTCGGCCTACGAGATGGGCCAGACGCGCACGGTCATCAGTGCGCTAGAGCAGGACTACTCGGTCATCTTGTACCAGGTCATGTACGCTCGAGATGCCAAAACGAGGGTGGATCAGCAAAAGGCATACCTCGACCGCATACGCAAGCGACTCAGTGATGCGCAGAAGCATGAGAAGGATTTGCAGGAGCAAGCCAAGGTCGCGGCTGCTCACACGCACAGCCTCATCGAGGATGTAAAGAAAGCGGAGGCGCTCCTCGACCACTTCACACAGCTGGAGAAAGCCGAGCGAGATGAACAAGGTATTGCAATGCAAGTCGAGCATGACAGTGCAGCTACGGATGCCACAGCAGCGCACCAGTCAACACCAGCGAACGCTTCGGCAGTGGCCCAGCTCGCTGCCATGCAGGCCACCAACATCGATCTTTCAGAGAAGCTGCTCGCACTGACAGCCCAGATGGCCACCATCCAAGCAGCGCTCAACATCCAAGTGCAGAACGGCAACAAGCCCGCCGTCTCGCAGCACCAGCAGGCGGCTTCGCCTGGGCCAGAGGCGCCAGCCGCGCCGCCAGCCGTCTCCGCCGCGGGGCGGGCTCAGCTGCCCACGTCGTGGCCGCCCCCCCCCATCGGCCAGCGGAGGAGTGGCGCCAGCGGAGGCCGCAGCTCGCGCAGCCGAGGAGGCAGCCGACCCAGGAGCCGACGGCGGTCCGCCCGCGGCGCAGCGCCGCCTGGGCGGCCCCCGCAAGGCCACCCCAGCAGCAGGCAGATCAGGAGGTCGAGCGCATACACCGCATCGTCCTCCAGGACAGAGTATCCTGAAAGTCGCTTTCGACAAGACAGCTCAAAGGCAGAAAGCAGCCAACGCAGCTGGCAACGTACACTCGGACGACTCTGCAGAGGATGATGACATGGAGTGCACAGTGGCCGCAGAGCTGAAAAGTGAGCAGACGCCAGTCGCTAGCATTGCGCAACCAGCTATGCATGCCAGTGCTGAGCCGCCAGAGAGCGAGCTGTGACAAACAGGTCTGTCTGCAGTGGAAGTGCATGCGCCGCTGCAGACAGCAGACGGCCTAGAGGACTGCCCCACTCCGCCTCCCTCCCCCTCCGCTGTGCAGAGTCTGAACCACCATGGTCTCAGTCTCAGCCCGCTGCCCGCCTTGGCTCCGACTAAGGACCTACTTCTAAGGAGATGGAGTACACCTCTGGGAACCGACATACTTACGCATGCGCAGTTTTGGCACTCTACGACTATCAATGCCTTGGGCAAGTTATCTCCGACTCCTGGCCCCGGGATGGAACCTACAAGCGTTCCCACCAGGATCGACATCTACACAGACGGAACCGCTGGCGGCTTCAAGAATTGGAATGATTTTCATTGCCCCCCAGCATGGTCATTCGTGGTCATTGCGGAAAAAGAAGCTCACAGGTGGCTTCTCGGCTACGCCGCTCGTACCATCTCCGCATCGAGCGTATATCGTACGTCGCTGCTGTCTGCAGTTGCGGAGTTTGAGGCGGCCATATGGGCCGCCGCATGGTGCATGCAACATGTGGACATACACAACATATCTGTGACGATACACACCGATAACATGGAGGTGGCTAGAGGAGCTAATCTTGGGGCCCCCAAGGGTAATATTTTGGAGCTCAAACGTACTCTGGATGGGCTTGTGCAGGTCCTCAAAAGGCAGGCCCAGGCCTTCACGTGGGCCCACGTTTCAGGCCACCAGGGAGCCCCTTGGAATGAGATGGCGGACACCCTTGCCAGACTGGTAGCCATGGACATTTTGCCTGAGTATCCAGACTTCCAATGGAGAGTCCAACTGGACCTGCCATGGCACGCTCGAGCAATTCCGTGGCTCTGGACAGATGTTCTCAGTACTGAGCAGCGCTCACAGTATCCGCCAGTGCACAGGGTGCCGTTGCCGCCAGCCCAGAACCCCACCACCTCCATGAAGGACTACATACCTGCTCCCGCGGAAGCCGCCACCCCCACCTTGGGTCACAGTTTGTAGCATAGAACGCCAAAGTTCTGGGTCGCTACTGCCAATGTTCTTACACTGCATCCCAACATCTGGGACGGCCTACAGGACTCTACGGGACCAGGGCCTGGAAGGCTCATGCAGTTGGCCATGCAATTCTCTGCTCAACGGTATCTCTTGGTTGGGGCTCTGGAAACTAGGTTACGTGTACACAAAGCTCAGACGGTGGGTAACTACTGCATCCTCCACGCCACTGCTACCCCTCAGGCTCGGACGGGTGTGCTTTGTGGGTCCACGAGGGTATTGAGTATCTACCAGGACGCCGCATTACTAAGCAGATGTGTCGAGTCTTGCACGCGGAGCCAGCCAGACTGATTGCGACGATTCGAGGGCACGGCATTTCAATCAATGTTATTGTGCTGCATTCCCCACTCACGTTCCAAATCAACTTTGCAGTCTCCTGAGGTCAAAGTTGCCGAGTGGTGGGACACCACTCTACAGCTCGTGAGGAATACACGCCTCGGTGCGGAACACCTCATCACCCTTGCCGACTCCAACGCTGCGTTGGGAAGCGCTGCCTCGCCAGCTGTGGGCAAACATGATGAGGAGGAGGAGAATCCCACCAGCCCTCTGGGCGTAGGTGGTCTAGAACAGATCCTCTTCCACCCCTCCCTCTTCCCCCTTGGGGGGGGGTTTACCCCTCCCCCTACCCCCTCCCCTGGACCTGGACGGGGGGGGCCGCGGGTAGTTAGAGCGTCCCAGATGGCCCAAGACGGCTCCAAGAGCGCCTCAGAGAACCCAAGATGAGCTCCAAGATGGCTCAAGATAGCGCAAGATCGCTCGAGATGGCTCCTAAGATGGTTCCAAGAAGCCCAAAGACGGCCCCAAGATAACTCCAAGTGGCCAAACAGCTCCCCAAGGAGGCCCCGAAGAGGCCAAAATCGTCCCAAAACCTAAGGAAAATCAATGATTTTTGCTTTCTCGCCTTTTCGCTTCCGATGGCCATCCGAGGCCTGGAGATGGTTCCAAGATGGCCCAAGAGGGCCCCAAGAGAGCCCCAAAAGAGCCCCAAGACGGCCCCAAGAGCGCCCAAGAGCACTCCAAGAGCGTTCCAAGAGGGGTCCAAGAGGCGATTTTAGGGGCTTCCGAGGGGGGACGCTAATTAAACCCCCCCTCTTGTTTGATCGATCTCCTCCAAGATGGCCCCAAGAAGCGCCCAGGAAGCCCCAAGAGGTCCCAAGATGGCCCCAAAATGGCCCCAAGAGGCCCCCAAGAGGCCCCCCGGAGGCCCCCAAGAGACCCCCAAGAGGCCCCAAGAGCCCCCCCAGATGCACCCAAGATGCTCCAAGAGGCCTCGGCGAGAATGCCTAATCATTGATTCTACACAGGTTTTAGCCACATGGAGGCCTCTTGGGGGGGGGCACGGATTAAGATGACTCCAAGAGCGTCTGGGAGAGCCCAAAATGACCTCCAAGATGGCTCAAGATATCCCAAGATGTCTCATAATGGCTTCCTCTGTGTGCTGCCCACTTCTCTGATCGAGGCAATTCCTCTGGGCATCGTTTCTGGATGGGCTGGTGGGGATTCGCGAAGCGACAACAATTTAGCAGGAGTACATTTCCATCAGTTTCTCTTGGACACACAACAATGGGCGCCCTCTACTTCCCCCCCTTCCTACTCGGGCGTCTCGGGCTCCTGGACGGCGCCCTCCAACAAAAGCAAGGCACGGCGCAGAGACTATGTCACTACTTCGGACAGTGCGGCTGTCTTGCAGCAGGGGGTGGACGGAGTGGTAGATCTTACTGTCGCTCAGGAGGATCATCAGGCTGTAGGTGCATTGTTTCTCTTGCCTCCCTCAGGATGCATACAGGAGATCACATCCGCTCACCGCATACCACACGATCCAGCTCTTCTCCAGGATCCTGAGGCCAGGGCTGCCTTCATCCAGTTGCTCCAAAGGGCCCCGCATGTGGAGTTTGCCACACACAGCTCGGATCACACACATATTCTGGACCTACATGCACGCACATGCGTGCAAGAAGCTCTCCCTGCGAAGACTACGGACAGGGGGCGACAGCCGCGGCAGGCTCGCCAAGCGCGGAGCACGGCAGCCAGGGCAGCTAGTGCAGTTGTCTTTTTTCTGTGGGCACAACATACGCACAGTGCTAGGCTGCTGGACCTACACTTTTTCGGTCGACCTCTTACCACCCTCCCTCCCAGTCCCTCTACGGTGGTCCTATCTTGGGAACGGTGCCGACGTGCCTTCAACAGTCTTGGGGGGGCTCTCAGGGACACCATGGCTGCCTCTGCGGCTATGCAAAACGCCGATCCGTCTAAAAGCAGACGGGCCAAGTGGCTCCGACTTGCTCACCGACCTGTGGACCGACTCTCAGTCATCTCGGACCCTGCTTGCATCCTCGGGTTGGGAGGCTCTGTCTTGGAGTTTCTAGAGGCCCTCTGGGAGCGCATTCAGGACGTGGAAGGGGAGACTCTGGCCATCAGGGAGCTTTTCCAACTACACAACACATATGTGATCAAATGCGTGTCAATGCAGAACGCCATGACGCATTACTACGGTCTTGCCGACCTGTTGCAGTCTGAGTGGGACAAAAATGCCACAGACAAGGCCTTTGCTACTCTACGACGCATGGGCGCAGGGTCTAAGAAGAAACTCGCGGTGCAAGCTTTGCCGGTTGTCAGAGGCAAGGATGGCCAGCCAGCAACTACAGCTACGCAGGCAGCCAACATCTGGCTTTCACATTTTGGCAGAGAGGAGTGCTCTGCCATTGTTCCGCTCGAGCATGCCCAGGATATTCTCGACATCCCCCCCCCGCTGGAGATGGACACCGACAGACAAATAACAGACGAAGATGTTTTCCTCCCCTCATTCGCCGATTTCCAGACAGCATGCTCGCGTGCGAGGCCCAGCGCAGCCAGCATTGATGGCATCACGGGGCGCCTGCTGGCCAAGTTTGGGCCCGAGCTTGCCGAGCTTTACTTTCCAGTCGTGGTGAAGGCCATCCTGCGACTAGTAGAACCACAGCAATGGAAAGGGGGCTCATACTGGCAGATATGGAAACGATCTGGGGACCCTTCCCTGCCTCAACATTCCAGGGCTGTCATGGTTTCCCCGCAGCTGGGAAAAAATGCAGGTCCCTGGTCCGAACTCCTCTCGCGGTTGCTCTGCCAGGATATGCCGGGGAATCTCAATTTGGGGGCATTGCTGGAAGGGGGGGGGATCTAGCTGGCCTAGCTATGCGCACGTTTCAGAACATTGCCGAAATCAAGCACACCTCCATCATGTACCTACTCGTCGACGTAGTACAGGCTTTCTACAAATCGGTCCGACAGCTGGTCATGCGATCAGGACACACACAGGAGGACCTAGCTTTACTACTCAAGACGACCGGCCTACCTCCGGAGGCCACGCAGCGTCTTATGGAGAGGTTACGTACACAGGATACCAGTCTCACTACAGCTAGAGTTGGTCCTCATGTCCAGGCCCTAGTGGCCTCATCCCACCAAGGTGCGTGGTTTCACTATCCAGGCTCATCTCTGGTTGCCTATTCTATGATTGGGACGGTCCCGGGGCAACAGCTGGGAGATGTCATTTTCAATTTCATCATGGCCGAGTGCATGCATCTCGCTAAGGACCAACTCCAGCACTTGGATCTTGCATTTAAGGTACCCACGCTGCCAGGAGCTTCTCTCACACAGATGATGGAGCATGAACCGGCAGCGACACAACCAGCCTAAGATGTGCTATTTTTCGACGACGGCGCGTTTGCCATGATAGGCGAACCACTCAAGCTGCTGGAGCAAGTGCCTCAGATTGCAGGCACGGTGGCAGCTTCATTTGCGTCCAGAGGTCTTTCTCTCAATTTCAAGCCTGGGAAGACGGAGATCCTCTTCCAATTTCACGGGCAACATGCTAGAGCGGCTCAGCTCAAGCTGTGGAAGCACATGAAAGGCAAGTGGGAATGGGAGGACCACATCATGGGGCACATGAGTCTCAGCGCTGTGAGGCAATACCCCCACTTGGGCACCATCTTGGATGAAAGAGGCAGTCTGGGCCCCGAAGTGGCTCATCGCATCGCGGGCGCTACCTCTTCGGCGAATGTCTTGGGCAGGAAAGTTTTCAAAGTGGTCCCCAAGAGCCCCGAGGCCCTCATCATGAAGATGCGTTTTGTGGACTCCCTGCTTACCTCTTCTTTGCTGTTCAACGCTGGCACGTGGTGTAATTTGGAACGTGGTGCACACGACAAACTTAGGCATACTATGCTGCGGAGATACCGGTCTGCGTGTGGCATGCCACAATGTGACGACACTGCTGCAGCGGATCGCACAGTGCTTGCTACGGTACAGAGGTCCGACCTGTCAGGCCAACTTCGCGTCCACAGATTACGTCTCCTGGGCAGGGTCATCCATTTTGGGTCCGACACTATCAAGGGCCTTCTCACCACGGCCTATAGGGCCTACGCGGGACCCAAGGGCAAAACCTCCTGGCTCCATCATGTTACGGACGATTTGGTCTGGCTCAGAACAGTAAGTAGACAACTTCGGGAGCTACCAGACCCACGTGACGACTTTGCACCATGGGAGCGAAGAGTCCAGTCTTCTCTTCCTGCTTGGAAGCGCCTTCTCAAGGAGGCCATAGCAGGATCGACACGAGCGGATGCGAATGCGGCTCTTGCAGAGGGAGCTGCAAAGAAGTTTTTCACTGTCGTCCAGCCTAGCGGCTTCCCGTTGCCCATCGCCGATCTCGAGCACCCATTGCGACAGGCAGAAATCATTTCGCAGCCCGACCTCGCTTGCCCTTGGTGTGCGACGCATTTCCACAAGCCCAGGTCCCTACGGCAGCACATCGTTCAGAAACACTTCCGTATGGTGTCGCAGGTTGAACGATTTCTTGGACGCAGCTCAGAATGCCAGGCCTGTTGCACGGAATTTGCCTCGAGAAGGCAGCTGCGCGATCATCTTGCATACGACTCAGCTAGATGCTGTCTCGCGTGCATGTGCCGAGGACAGCAGCTGGGGCACGAAGAGGCGGTCACGGCCGCTGAGGAGGATAGGATGCTGTGTGCCAAGAGGAGAAAGGACGGTCTTGGGCGTTGGCGCACGGCTTATCCTGCTACGCTGGGCACCAAGGAGTGTCTTTGGGAGTCTGCTTGGGTTTTCTCGCATCTCACGGAGTTAGAGGCTCGACAAGTCCTGCAAGAGACCCACTACGAGTTCCCAATCGAGGCCCTGCCAATCCTACTACGTGCTTGGTACGACTCCCACGAGGCCCCCTCATTGGAACCACCACGGGCCCAATACGAGGACAGGTATTATATCTTCCGACCTAACGACTACTGTGGCATATCGACTATGGCTCTGCCGTGCCAGTTACGCCGACCCGAAGTATTCAGATTGAATCTCTTTTGTTGTCGACGCCGACAAGGTGACATTCAATGGCATCTTTCTGACCTTCAGGCCACATCTGACATCCAAGTCACCACACTGTCTCTGGACATTGCCATCGACCACATCTGGGGAGATCTGACTCGGGAGGCCACAATTCAAGAGTGGTCTGAGCATATACGTCACCACAGGGTTTGGATTACTGGGGGGGGGCACCATGCGAGACTTGGAGTGCAGCTCGCTGGAACGACGCCCCCCCCCCCCCCCCTTTGCGCACGCAATCTTACATCTGGGGAGTGCCGTGGTGTTCAGAGGAGCAACACAAGCAGGTACGGACGGGCAATCTTTTACTGTTTACAATTGCCCAACTGCTCGCTGAGCATATTCGAGCAGGCGCGCGCGGGTGGATAGAACATCCACCGCCTGCTCTCTGGCGCCCACAAGCGCCTTCCAGCTTCCAGTGGATGCCTATGCGTGCGCTAGAGAGTTGCCCACTTGTCAGTACCATCCAGTTTGATCAGTGTATGCATCATGACGGGAATCCTCAGGAGCACGGGAAAGGAGCTACACGCATCCTGGCACTACGTCTACCCCGTCTCTACGGTCTGCTAAAAGCTCGTAACGATGGTTTCTGCAACCACGGGAAGAATGTTCACTTGTCTCTGGTGGGCAAGCTTAGCGACGGTACTTTCAAAACGATTGGCAAGAAGACGCACCCTCCATCCATGTGCAGTGCTATTGCTACAGCCATGTGGGATGCAGTTCTTACAGCATTTAACTCGGAGGCAGAAGATCCTCCAGAATGGCCAGCTACTTCGGATTTCGACGAAGCAGCACTACGTCAATTTTATGTGCCCTGGTCGGACCACGATCAGTTCTGGGAGGCCCCCGACTATGCTGGCAGCCTCAGGGTCAAACGTAAAGGTGATCCCGAAAGGTGGCGCTGGGACCTTCCGACCCCCCCTCCTCCGCCTCTCCCCCTGCCCCTGCCGTGCCTCCCGAGGTTCCTCTGCCCGAGGCCCCAGAGGATCCGCGGCCGCAGGCGTCCGCTGGCGACACCGTGGAGGAGGCGGCCTGCCCCGCCTCTGGCTCGGCTTCCTTAGCCGTCCCCCCTCCTCCCCCCCCTCCTCCTCAGCTAGCTCAGCTCACGACTGAGCAGCTTGAACGCATTAGAAGGAACCGTGCTGAAGCCAAAGAGCGCAAGCGCAAACGCGTAGCGCCATGGCACTTCGAGGCCATTATGTGGCCACACGGTTAATTTGTCTTGTTCCTTTTTCGGCCCCTGGGTGACATCGGCCCCGCGGACCTTCAAGGAGCCCGACCACTAGAGACAGACAGAGCACGACCCAGCGTCCCAGCCTGCGTCCGACCGACCTCCCTCCTCCCTCCCCCCCCCCCCCCCCCCCCCCCCTCCCCCTCAGAAGTCGTAGGGGGGAGGGGGGGGGGTTCGCACGTGGCCCCCTATAGCCCCGCACGCTGCCCGGCGCCGCCTCGGCCCGCTGGCGGCCAGAAGGCATCGTCGGAGGCCACGCAGCTTCTGGAGTCCTCTGTGCAGGCGCCGCCGCGCCGGGCGCTGCCTCCCCGCTCGGCGCAGGTTGCCACTCCGCGCTCCAGGAAACTGCAGTCGGGGCCCTGAAGAAGGAACCCTTTTGGTTGGGGAGGGGCTCCGCGTTCCTGAAGTGTTTCGCAGCTTGCCTCAGGTTTTCCTTATGTCATCGATCAGAAATCGAAGGTTAACTTATGGAAAAAAGGGGCCTCGTTCCTTATTTAGGGTTCCTTAGGTCAACGCCCCGACTGTAGCATGGGCTTCCTGCTGAAGAAGGGCCGGTGGTTTCGAACGCGGGGGCAGCGCGCGCCAGGGCAGAGAACGCGAGGCCGCTCGGCAGCGTCAGCGCGGACGACCGGCTGTTGGCCAACGCTCCGAGGTCGCGGGCCGAACCCCTTTTGTCTGGACGAACGAGATGGGCACCGAAAGAATGGGTACAATGCTCAACAACGGTTCCTGTTCATTTTGAACAGGACTCGTTGTCCGCGCCGCCGCGGCCTGTGTCCATTCGAGACAGAAGGCCGCCTGCCCAACAGCGGCCGCTGTCGGTTTGGGACAACATCCGTTGTTGGGCATTGTACCCGTTTTTTCCGTACCCATTTCGGGCGTCCAAATTTTTGGAAAATGCAGCCTCCAACTCGCAGCAGGGTTTTCTGGCGGGGCGTTCGATGTTGACGGGCGTCGTCGAGGTGCACGCGCGAGCTTCCCCTGCATTCGAGGCGCCGGCCGCGGTCGTCTCCGACTTCCAGGCGGCGTTCCCGTCGCTCGCGCGCGGCTTCTTGGCGCGCGCCCCGCGCCGGCTGGGTCTGCCGCCGTCGGCGCGCATAGCAGTCGAGGGCCTTTGCTGGGGGCGCGGTTGCAGACTCGCCGTCGGAGGGCGCCTGCACCAAGGCTTCCAGATTCAGGCTGGGGTCAGGCAGGGATGCCCGTTATTATTGGCACTGTTGTTTGCCGTTGTGGTCGATCCGTCGTTGCGGAGATTGGGCGGGGCATTAATTACCTTCAGCAGCAGTGCGGGCTTGCGCGGATGACCTCGCAACTATGTTTCCTGACATGGCCGAGGCTCAGGAGGAAAGGAAACAAACAGACACAATTAATCCTCGATTCCCCAGAAAATATGGGGAAAATATGGGGAGTGGGGGGGGAAGACAGAAACCCAGAACATATGGGAAAATATTGGGAATATTTTTATTTGTGTGCATTTATTGGTGTGTGTCCTGGGGCCCCTTCAGAGGCGTTTCCCTCGCTCGCCCCCGCCTCCAGCGCGTTCGCAGCGGCGTCGGGCCCGCGGTCGAGCTTCCGCGAGGCGGCCGTCGCGCCGCTCGCGGAGACCGCGCACCCCTGGCGGCGTCGGACGACGTCGCAGCCCGCTCTCGGGCCTCGGCGGCTCGCCTCCTCGCGCCGGAGAGTGCGGTCTCATGGCCCGGCCGTGGCTCCCCGCAGGCGCACCGCTCGGAAGTGCGCCTGCAGAAGCTCTGGGGCCCCCCCGCCCTCAAAGCCAGAACGGCGAGGGAAGAGGGCGGAGGAGGAGGAGGAGGAGGAAGAGGAGGAAGAGGAGGAAGAGGAGGAGGAGGAGGAGCAGGAGGAGGAGGAGGAGGAGGATGACGAGGACGAGGAGGAGGAGGAGGAGGATGAGGAGGAGGAGAGGAGGAGGGAGGGCGGAGGGGAGGAGGAGGAGGAGGAGGAGGAGGAGGAGGAAGGAGGAGGAGGAGGAAGGAGAGGAGGCGGAGGAAGAGGAGGAGGAGGAGGTGGAGGAGGAGGAAGAGGAGGAGGAGGAGGAGGAGGAGGAGGAGGAGGAAGAGGAGGAGGGAGGAGGAAAGAGGAGGAGGACGAGGAAGAGGAGGAGGAGGAGGAGGAGGAGGAGGAGGAGGAGGAGGAGGGGAGGAGGGGAGGAGGAAGAGGAGGAGGAGGAGGAGGAACAGGAGGAGGAGGAGAAGAGGAGGAGGAGAAAGAGGAGGAGGAGGAGGAGGAGGAGGAGGAGGAAGAGGAGGACGAGGAGGACGAGAGGAGGACGAGGAGGACGAGGAGGACGAGGAGGACGAGGAGGAAGAGGAGAGGACGAGGAGGCCGAGGGGGACGAGGAGGACGAGGACGAGGAAGGACGAGGAGGAGGAGGAGGAGGAGGAGGAGGAGGAGGAGGAGGAGGAGGGAGGAGGGAGGAGGGAGGGGAGGATGAGGAGGAGGAGGAGGAGGAGGAGGAGGAGGAGGAGGAGAAGGAAAGAGGAGGAGGAGGAGGAGGAGGAGGAGGAGGAGGAGGAGGAGGAGGCGGGGAGGAGGCGAGAGGGAAGGAGGAGGAGGAGGAGGAGGAGGAGGAGGAGGAGGCGGAGGAGGCGGAGGAGGAGGAGAGGAGGAGGAGGAGAGGGCGGAGGAGGAGGGAGGAGGAGGAGGGGAGGAGGAGGAGGAGGAGGAGGAGGAGGAGAAGAGGAAGGGGAGGAGAGGAGGAGGAGAGGAGGAGGAGGAGGAGGCGGAGGAGGAGGAAGAAGAGGAGAAGGAGGAGGATGAGGAAGAAGAAGAAGAAGAAGAAGAGGAGGAGGAGGACGGAGGACGGAGGACGGAGGAGGG